GATTCTTGTTAAAATTCTACAATTTTGGTACTTTTTTATTTCAAGCTTATATTTATTACTTTATTTTTGCTTACTTTTGATGTATGATTTTGAAGAAAGTGTAGTTTAGTCAATGATATTAATTACTCATTTTATAGACGAATTTCAAAATAATAAATTCAAGTTATTTTTTCTGAAGCGATGTGAATAAAAATTTTATACTTGTGTCAATGATAGGATATTAGTATTAAAGATTTTTGAAAACAATAATTTGAAATCAAAATATTATTCACATATTATTATTCACATAGAAATTTGTTGTATTTTAAATTACTTGTTTGATGACAAAAATTTTACTTCATATTTCATGCATATAATCATTTTTATTACATATTCATTTTGTTTGTAATGAGATTTTTCAATCTATAAATATTGCTATAAAACAAATCTAGATGTAAATATTGTTTAAATTTTATATTTAATCAATCAAAATCAGCTATAATTTAGATCTTTTAAAAGTTTTGAATGTTATAAAAGTACATGTTTTGCAATAATTGAAGGTTTAATGAAAAAATAATCAAAATTAAAATAGATCTTAAAAAATAAAATGTTGTTTGAAAAAATTGAACAAAATGAAATTTCTAACAAAAAATTAAAGGTTTAAACATAAAATATACTCATTGGTTAAATTTTTATTCTAAATGTTGCAAAAGTAATACTTAACTTTAAAAAATGGATTTTGTTTCAATAAAATAATCTTTCCTAGTACATTCTGTTTGAAATTTAATTTTAACTTGGATAATTAGTTGAATGAAAATTTATAGTTTTAGATATGTTGTTAAATCAATATTGAATTGACTTTATATGATAAATGTAAACATGAAAATTCGGATGATTAAATTGAAAATTATATATGTAAGATACAGTGAGATGGATGTATTGAGAAATGATGTCTAGTCAAATTACAAATTTGTGTATACATTTTGTGCTATATGGTGTATACAATTATTTTTACAATAATCATATTTCATCATAATATATTAAAGATAGTGTTGCAAAGATATACAAACTCTGATGGGAGTTCCTTGTATGTCACAAAGACATTTTGATTATATGTCATGTGTTAGATGACATCCGAACCCACATACCATGTTGGATCTTTACCGATTGAGGAAAGCGCGAAAACATACAATTGTTGCTCGATGTTCGCATTAGAATGTGTAGAAGAGTTTTTTTGCTTCTTCTTCCAACACTCGTTTGCTAGATAGCCCCACTTTTTGCAATAGAATCACTTCTTATTTTGTCGGGGAATAGATGGTTTCAATGTAGGTTCTTGTCATGATGAAGATGAAGAATCTACCTCATTGGATCTTCTTGGATCTGGCTACGGCTTTTGCTTGAAGAAAGTCCACACTCTTTTCTTTGTGACGTAGAGCTCTGACATTACGTGGGTCAACTCTTCTTCTTTGAGGTGTGCTTGTTCAAGAAGGATACTTGCTATGACGGATTGTGTAGACAACGTCCTGTTTGTTTGCATTGAGCGCACAAAGGTTTAGTATTCAATAGGAAATCTTTGAAGTAGACAATCAAGCTTCTACATCTAGAATGGTATGTCCTACAACAACCAACTGATCGAAAAAGAGACAAAATTTTGTGATGTGTTTTGCCAGAGACTTGCATATCTTCATTTTTAGAAAATGCAATCATTCTTTTAGATGCAGTTGCATTAGTACGTGATGCAATTCAAATACCTTTGTCAGCTTGGTCCAAGTCTTTACTGCTATCTTATAGCAAGCGATCTAGAGTTGTTGATGAGACATCAACGCATTATTCAACATTAACAAGAAGATAAGGTTTCTATCATCCCATTACTTCTTACTCCTACGCCGGATGGAGGTGTGCCGGTTGTAGATTTAGGTGGAGTGATCAGTCGGAGTTTGATACCTTCGATAACATACATCAATACTTCAACTCGAAGGATCAAACTTATATGATCTTTCAAAGAATGAAAATGCTTACCATTAAATTTGAGAAGATACTTTCATGCAACTCGGATGGAAGCTTCTAGAGAATTCATCTTCCTTAAAATGATTGTTTTTATTCATGTTTTTCACTATCTTGAATGCTTATTACGATTTTGAAAATTGTTGGAAAACTTCATTAATTTGTGAAATTTTGCTTGAATTTCATGAATCTTTAAAATTTTGAATCAATTTTTTTTTCTTTTTTCAATCTGAGCTTTTTGAATAATCAAATCAGCATTGATAGTTCTTTGACAAATTCGGCCCACTTAACGCCGAACAAGAAATCTTGAAGAAAGACATGAATTCAGTGCTTTGTACGGTCTTGGTCTTTGGTTGTCAAAATTTGACTGACGAGGTTTCGAGATCTCCGGGAAGTGCTTTGAAAGGTAGCATAGAGATGATTCGAAGCAAGAAGCAATCTTCATGCTTGTCTTGATTCATACGTTCTTGAATAAGAGTACAACTAACTAATACCATATTAGATAAATAGAACAATGCAATGGTAAAGGTTGACATATAATATAAGGAAATATTCGATAGATAGAGTTGTTGATAAACATAGGTCCACGAATCGAATTTAAATATTTGATTTGAGAGAAATCAAGGTATGCATTAGACACAAAAGAACACACCTATACATTGGATCACTTCCCTACAGAGGGACACATCACTGCCGTGGGACACACTCATGTAGTGTCTCTCATCCCTTGAACATAACAATCTTAACAAATAGGAGAACAACAGCACTAGATCTCGGTACTAACTATAATAACTCTAATTGCACTAATCCGCACATATAAGAAGTAATAGGGAGTATCACAACATTCTAAAAAATTGAAAAATGATCTCTAGTCAAATTACAAATTTGTGTATAATTTTTGTGCAATATTGTGTATAAAATTATTTAAACAATAAAATTTTTTCACAATATTTCTTTTCCAAATTTTATAAGTTTGAATAAAAAAATTTCCTCAAAACATCATAGTTAAAAAAATTATATGTTTTTATAACGAATTTTAAATTATTTATTACAATTATGTTAAATAAATATATGTCATTAAATTAAAGAAAGCTGTTCATTATGCAAAATTTTTTGAATTTATAATACAGAAATTTCTTTATATCATAATGAAATAGTTTACAAATTGTAAAAATTGCGTAATTTACTTTCTAATTTTTGTATCATGTACTTATAATAATCATCAAATAATCTTATATCAGTGAATATTGATAGCATAAAAATCTCACATTGAGTTCAAAAATGTTGTTTATATTCAAACACCCAAGAGGTAGTACAAACAATGTATATATCATTGTGTTATCTACACTTTGATCACATCAGCTTATAAACTAATGAAGCAATATTCATGTAATCTATCCCAGATTGCATACTAATCTAGGTACAACAGACCTACTCATCCTAAGGAAGATTTAAAGCTAATCCAATCATGAACTATTATTATTAACATTACGTGAGATTTCTATCTTACTAATCTAAAATATCATCATCAAAACAATTAGGCTAAATATGACCCTGAGATACTATTCTCATGGGATTGATATTGTGACACAATTAATGTGTTAGATTAGATTGTTCATAAACATGGAGTGACAATAGGTAGGCTTGTGCTTGTGGGCAAATATCACCATACTATTGAATTTGATTTGTTAATGCTTTTTGAATAGTAAGCACGTTTCATTAACATTACATGGTATCTCTAGAAGTCAATGAGATCTAACGGTCTGGATACGGCCAGAGTTGAAAGATGTTATTTGCTGTACGACCTATTATCCCGTTGTGACGACATGGGGACCTAGATCCAGACCGCCATTGTTCCCTTCTCTCCAACTTGATGGGTATGACCATCGTTGTTGCCATTTACGTTGGGAGCGCCATCGCCATCCTTTTTGCTATATTTCCGGGTTCACTTTCGTCTTCCATCGATATGAAATATACGTCAACCTGCTACCTACATGGGGAGATGGACACGTGTTACCAAACTGTGAACCTCAAGATGTCGAGCACGAAGCAGTCACTCTCATTCGCTGTAAGAGAATCTTTCATGTATATTGGCGGTCACTTTGTCGGTCCCTTACACTTGTCGAAGAGGCTACTACACCGTTGGTCCAATCAATGCTATGACGAGAAAAACCACGCGTTGTCCACCTTCACAACTGTACAGTAGTCTACGGTACAGTCGAGGTTACGTGGACGAATCTAGCCGGTGGAGGCGCAGAGTCCTCCGATTTCTGCTCCTGTTGCACGGTACTATTCTCGCCTCGTACGGAACGATGTGGGTTTCCTTCCTCCTTCCTGGATTTGGTGCCATGTTACGAGAAAGAGGCGCAACTAAGATAATAGCTCTCTCCTTCTCTTGTGGGCGAGTTGCGCACCGTGTAATATTTGGTGTTTTTAACCTGCGATTCTCTTTGTAAATTGGTCAAAGTGGTGGTGTCGAAGGCTTTAATATTCTTTTGCGTCTCGTATTTGTGCCTCGGCCTTTGATACTACATCGGAATCCCGTATTGACGGCTTCTGAAAGATCCGACAGACGCAGGTGTCGCTGCGAAGGATGCGCTTTACGTCGACGTCCGGACTCCGGGTAGTTGGGATGAAGTTTACGCGTCGATGCACGAAGTCTTTTACCGCCGCGCTCGAGATTCACTCATGTCGAGCGCCGGAAAGAGGCACCCGGACGGACGTGCCTCCGAACTCGGGCCGTAGGGCTCCGAGGTGGCCGAAATCCGGTGGCAGTGTGATGGAAGAATGGAGAGAACCATTCGGGCCATCGATGGTTACCGTAAAAGTCCAACGGACATATGCCACGTGCCGCGGCCCGTGCCACCGTGGGCATCAAGATCCGTGCCGAATCCGGGCGCGAGCGTGCGAGGCAGGAGGTCTCCGTGCGGACGGCGCTGCCGGGACGCAGAGTGGCGGTGGCTGCCGTAGCATCTTGTGCAAGACGCAGCGGCAGCAGCGGAGTCTTTGGCCGATTGATTGATTGATTGCGTGCGGTGGTCGTCATGGCGGTCGTGGAGGGAGGGACCGAAGAGGGAAAAGGCGCATGAGAACGAGCGGGGAGCAGCATAGCATGGCTTTCTAAGAATGGACGGGGACCAGATTTGCGTCGAGACAACGCAGGGTCTGATGAGAGGTGGTGAGCTAAAGATGGTGTGGCCTCACCGAAAGCTCTGGCGGAGTTGGCCGAGGTTGAGACACTTCTAAATCGCGCGATGAATTACACGTGCGTTTCTTCCTCCGCTGCTTTGGAGATGTTCCACGATTTCGTAGGTGTTGGTTTGGGCTGTGAATTTGTTGGTTTCCAGCATGCTTGTGGTGTCGAACACCGGCGCATGAACGCCTGGTCTACCAGACCGACGGAATCGAGCCTCTCAAGATAATTTTACCAGAAACTTGAAAGTGAAAAAACGTGACTCCGTTCTCCTTTCTTCTTCTCGTGTTCTTCGGTCGTTCTCTGGCATCCTCCTCTGTCTCCGGCTCGCGCGCGCTCTCTCTTCGTTTCGTTCTCTCTGTTCTGCTGCGCGATAATTTGCCAACATCTCTGAGTTCCATGAGCTAGGCTCCCGAGTTATGCCTATCGACGGAGAGATTGGCGAAGATCCCACGCCGAGTGATACGGCTGCAGTGGAATTGAGGCGGAGAGTTCCTGGGGAAGGTGCGGAGGGAAGGTTCGGACAGCTTATGGAGAACAATGGATTGAAGAATTCGGTATTCGGCCTAGTGCAATACTTCATGGATCGACCGGAAAACCAATCGCAGAGTTCCGGTTCATCATCCCCTAAGACAATGCTTGGCTCTGTTTGGACTACTCCTGCCACAGAATCTGTTCTTCTCGCTTCCACTGACACTGTTACTCAAGTTGACTCCTCATCTTCGCCAACTGCTGGGCCCGAGCTCGTGAAAAACGAAGTATTTAGCGATGGAGAGAAGTCTGGTCCGCTGCATTCGCAAAGTCAACAGAGATTGGAGGTGAGCAAATTTGTTGTTTTTCCTGGAAATTGGTAGAGATCTTAGATTGCGCTGTACTCGGCACCTCCCCTGCACATAAGGCGCGTGCACATCTTGTAGAGAAAGCGATTGCGGACTTTGATTAGGATGTTGTCAGCAATGCTTTGGTTGCGGATGGGTGCCACTATCTCTAGCTCTTGTAGACTCTACATTTCTCATATTAGTCTGATGGAAACAATATATTGAGCCCTCAAAGCAAGTCAATTGGCATGCGTTCCTCGGATCAGAAGCAAAGGATGGGTCCGTACCGGGAATTCAATCTGTATGTTTCAATTTGATCCTTTGCATGATGAACTCACTTTGTGAAACTGAACATGTCGATGGATTTCTAATTAGGAAATGTGTACAAGGCAGACAGCAACTAAATGCATCGTAGCTCCCCTGACCAGTAGAGATTCGCTTCGGTATTAGATTGTGTATATCGAGAGATTCTCAAATTTATAGTTTTACGAACGAACCAGAGTCGAAATTTCACTTTATAGTCATTGTCGGATTGAGATCAATTTATATTAAATGTGATTCCTTCGACCCCGTATGCCGTGAATATTCGAGCTTTTTCGTTTTAACTAGAATCATGGAGAGCAATAGTTTGTCAGTTTTTGAATCACAGTATCTGATATGGATCAAAGTGTCTCAAATTAGGTAGTGTGGTTCAGAGAGTCTCAACAGCTCAAAACCGTAATTCAAGTAGTCGTTCTTATCTTGATTCTGTTACATATTAGCCGGTAAGGCGAAGGAGGACGCGGAGGATGTTGTACTGTCTTTGCGATCAATGTTTTAAGTCAATGTTAATGTCCGCTATGTAATAATTCAGTTTTACGTCCGCAATACACAGTGAAGTCCTGTCACCTACATCTTTCCCATCCAGGTCACCCAGTTGATATGAGTAAACCGGATGTATCGACCACGCAGTATAGTAGGTGTCTTGAGGACGCATTGTGCGTAATAAGGACCATTCAATCACTCTGCAGGACCTGCATGAGACTTGCTTCATATTTCACGGCACTGCCTCGGCTTTACTTACCTCAGTCTTGATTTATACTTTTGACATTCTATGAGGGTCTGCGTGACGTAAGCTTGCGAGTTTACTGAGATGAAAGAGGTATACTATGTTTGTGTGAGGAAAATAGTGACGATCACTAGCAGCATTGTTTTATGCGAGCGTTGCCTTTCTCATACATCCTGAATGCACTGCATCCAACGACCTCAAGGTTAAAAATGTTGACACTAGTTTGGCATTCCATTTATTCAGGCTCAACAATCACAAAATAATCGCACCTACTTGAAAAGCGAGGAATATAGGCAGTTATTTCACCTGCCTCCCGAAGAGGTATGTTACCGTACTTGTGAGATAAGGAACACGTACGAAAGATGTATTGTGGCTGGTTGCGACCAGGGAACGTTACTGTAACTGGTATCTTCTTAGTCGAGAGTTAAGAACGGCCCAAAAACGGAATTAGAGAATTAGTTGTAGCCGCTAGAATCGTTGCACTGACTGGCTGCATAAACCTGAATGATTTGTCAATTTTTAGGAGTTGCTGTAGTTGAGGCTTTCGGCTTAGTTGATTGTGATTCGGGGGATTTGTCCGCCGTGCAGGTTTTAATCGAGGACTTTAATTGCGCATTACAAAAGAAAATACTACTCCAGGTACGTTAATATGGTCACGTTGAGGTGGTTACCGGATGCCAATTGTATTGATTTGAATTTTCAAATTATTCACAACATTTTTTTTTATGAAAGCTTAAACCTGTTTGCAGGGTCACATGTATCTGTTCGAGCAGTATGTGTGTTTCTACTCCAACATCTTTGGGTATGAGAAAAAGGTGTGTAACTATACCATGAAGCGTTAGCTTTCCGAAGGTCTTTCGTGCACGGTCATGCGGCTTGAGTAGTTGATAACGTATACTACTTTTAAGACCTTACGACAGATGGGAAGGCTATTTCGTAGATACGTTGTTCACATGATGATTCGTTTCAGATATAGTGAGGACATCCTTAGGGTGCACGAAGTCGCCGGTGGAAGTCGTAATAAACCAGGGAGGTGATTCACACTTGATCAGGGTCCTGTCGTTCCGTATTGTGGTTCTCTCAGCTCTTTAAATTTACTCATATTTTTGGTTTTTCAGTCTGCTGTTTAGTGGGCCTTGGTCCTTTTTAAAACTTTTATTTTGGTAGTGTCTTATATCCTCTCTATCACAAGAAGAACAAAACGTTGAACTTTCCGTGGCTAGCTTCCTGTGTGGCAAGTAGGACGAATGTCTTGTTTATTTCCTTGCTGGAGTGCAGCTTTTACATGAGAGCGAAACTGTTTCTCAACATCTCTCTGCTGGTGGAGTCCAATCTGTGTTCGGAATTCACTAGCCTTGATCCAAAGCCCAAAGCAGCGGCACTTTCATGGCTGCTGGGTGCCTTTCGTAACCTTGAAGTCGATGAATTAGTTAATGGTTTCTTAGTTGGTACGTGGAAACTCCGACTAATCTAATATATGGGGAAAATTTCCACTGCAAGAGTACTCTTCAAGCTATAGTTCTCCCTCTCGTTTCCCAGTTTTTCCTATGTCCCCTCTTTCTCAACACAAAAATTCTTCACATTAGCACCCTAAGCTATCGGCGCGGGTCTTTGGTCTTCAGGCTGTGTATTTCATCTTGCAAATATCGATAACCACGGGTGCTAACTGTCTACAACATTCTTCGACTTCTCAACTGCATGCCTGATGACTGCATTCGACTTCGAAGATTTTCTGGTTTTTTACAAGCCAATTTGTGATGCAGAAAGTGATCCCCTTGAAGGATGTGACTTGCGTTCGGAAGGCCAAGACAGCTGGAGTGTTTCCAAATGCGATTGAAATTACAGGGTGGGGTAAGAAGGTAATACCTTGTGTTTACTGTAATTAGTATTAACGTTGTGCACTTATCCGAATCTTCGAGTTTGTCCTAGCGCTGAAGGCTGTATCCGTAATGAGGGTGCTCTTGCTGCAGCATTTCTTTGCGTCGTTCCTATCTCGTGATGAAGCGTTCCGCCTGATCGTCAACGGCTGGTCTCAACACAGTGGCTACGCACGAAAGTTTTTGGGAGCCAATTTCTCTCCTGTGTCGGTATGAGTTTTCAATCATCTTACTTACATACTGTTAACTTTCTATGTTTGACGTTTGCAGTTCTTGAAAGCTGATGACTTCATTCAAGGCAGTGCAGTTTGTATAGAAGGACTTCTTCCCTTTGCTTGTCATTATTCTGAACCACTAGGGATGTTCAGGTCGTGAAACTTATATGGATAGATCTATGTGTCTTTTCCAGAGTCCCCCGTCGCAAGGACGCGTTTCTATAGACTCAGCAATCATGTCTTTAGCGTGGCGAAGTCCTCAGAGGGCAGCTAGTCTTCCGATTGATGGAACCTTCTCTCCCAGGTAACTACAGTTTTTGAGTATTTCAGAGTTTTGAGTTTGACAGAGTTGAGTCTCAAGTATATCATCTCGTAATGCTTTCCAGCCAGTCTGAAGTCGCCGAGGAGTCAAATGATGTTTGCCTGGGGATATTAGAAATGGGAGCTTGCTAATTTGTTTATCATCTTAACGAGTTTGACTTAAGAATACGAGTTAACTCTCTCCATTGGTGCTGGAACAGTTCTTATGTCCAGGGAAGGAACGAATTGCTAGATTGAGAGCTTAACATACTTGAGACTGGATTAGCAGTTATTTCAGCTGCATTGTTTTGTTTTGAAATGAATCTCATAAAGCTTTTAGGTTGCTCGCAAGTTTTTTTGATTTGTTCAAATATGGGTGTTGATCTATGACAAGCAGGGACATGGAAGATGTTCCCAATTTAGTAGCACCTTCAGTTCAAGAGGAACCTAGAGACGAGTCCATGGAGAGGAGCGAACTCGAAGATACAAGCGAACGAGGAAACGCAACCGACGCAGTGGAGCCTGGCTTTGAAGAAACAGTTGTCGTAAATGGAGATTCTAGTGTTTCGGGGGCTTCGACCTCCACAGTTTGGGAGCCTGAGGACCTAGATGCGCCAGTGAGTAAGTAGCCAGCCCTTTATTTGATTTCGATAGCAGTTGATTGGTGAAATGTTAAACGATAACACTGTGAACAGGATTACTGGGACTTTCTCAAATCAAGAGTAAATCACAGTGTCGAATATAATGAATGATAAACTTGGGCCTCAGACGTCGTGGATGTTTTACAATGAAGACTTCATTCCGATTAGGTTGAAAATATCATTTAAGAAACATCAAGCATCTGGGCCAGTACATACTATTGTAAGTTCGCATGTGAGCAGGATTTCAAACTGGTTACCTTCTTTAGCTCTTAAATTCCTGGACTTCTGTCATGGTTAAAAGTAGACGCATGATAGCCACTCTTAATAGTCTGTTCGGTGAATAGATTACATGGAGATATAGAAGTTTTTTATTCTCAAATGAATAAGGATCGATTTTTTTTGTTTCAATTGTTACAGTTGACGCCTGTGTTTGGTTTTTCCAACCTTGACCAAATCCTCTCTGGGCATTTGTCTGCAAGTTTTTCTGAGCGTTCATGTCGCCTTTTGTTCTGCAATGATGCAGTGCCAGACGGTTACAAAACTGTGGTGGAGTCGGAATTTGCTGTAAGTTTTGGCATTCACGTGCGTTTCAGCAGATTTCTTCAAGTTCACAGCCCAAGTTAGGGTTGAGACCTTTACTAATCTGAAGGACAATGCTATGCAGGTTGACGTGGAGGAATTCTTTCAGTTGTTTTTTTCGGATGATGCGATTGGTTTCTTGAAACAGTTTCATGGAAAGTGCGGTGATGATGGTATGTCAATGTCACAAGTGCAGTATTTTTCAAGACAAACAACCTAACGGGCAAATCCTGTTTGCGCTGCTCAGCGTTTAGAATGCATGGTTTATGATTGAGGAAGGAATCAAGATGTTCTTAAGAACCTTGCGCTTTGAGCAGTTTGTGGTTGTTTCAGTGCAATTATAGTTTTTGTTTGATGAGCATTTGAATTCTGTAAGCTTGAGAGTTCCGTTATGGTCTTGAAGAATAGATGTATGTGTCTTTATTTACCTAGACTGTAAACTTGTTGGAGCGATTACGTTCTGAGTTTCGTCTATGATGAAATGGCAGATTTTCGTTGTACAGAGTGGGCGAAGCACCGTCACTTCGGGCGTGCCCGCGACATATCATTTAGGCATCCAATCAACTTTTATTTTGGTATGACGTACAGGGCTGGGTTTTTTCTTGATTGATAGAGAGTTTCCCAAGTTGCTAACACCTGAATATGATCATTGCAGTTGATGCTTTTGTAAGCAATCTAAATACAACCATTTTTTGGGTCTAAGTCTCATGAATAAAGCTGATGCTCGTTTTGTTCTGTCGTGAAGGACCAAAAGCTACATATTGCCATGAGTCACAAAGATTCCGGGTCTATCGAAACAGGTAGGTTGGAACTGTATATAGCAATTATGTCATAAGGTCTTGGCTCCCTTTTCTCAACCAGTGGTTATGATTTGAGATTTGTGTAGTTCTCTTAGTGATGATCACTTTGCTTATCATCGAACGACACTGTGCTGCGAGTTCCGGAACTGTCTTGTGAAATTATGGAAACATACAGGGGATGCTTCAAATATGTTTGTGCTGCAAGTTCCGGAACTGTCTTGTGAAATTAGGGAAACATACAGGGGATGCTTCAAATATGTTTGTGGTTTCGATGCTTAATATTTTTACTAACACTGACATGTCACCTGCAGCCATCTTGTCTTGGAGACATCTCAGCAAATGACAGATATTCCATATGGAGATTATTTTCGTGTTGAGGTGCAGCTTTCTCTGCTCTGAGTATTCTGGTTTTGAATTGGCTCTGTGCACTGTGGACTGAAATTTGCATTGACCACGCTTCATGTGATGCTCAAATCTGACATGTGATCGATCTGCATGTATCCACTGACCATGTGCTTGGTTCAAGTGATATAAAGTCGAAGTATTTCGGGGTTCATAACGAATATCTTAATAACGAAGTAAGAGATCTCGCGTATCTCATGCTTCTGGAAGGACCGCGACAAAAACGGATGTTCGTTGGGAAGGGAAATCCAAAGGAAGGTCAATGCGGGAAGACTAAGATAGAAAAGAAGTTTAGAACTCGCACTGATACATTTGACCATGAGCTTTTACGTTGCGGAGATTTACGTCTTCGGGTTCGTATGTTACAGGTAAGGTGGGACGTTGAAAAGCTGTTTGGGCGTGGAAGCAATCATTGTTTTGTGCGTGTTTCTCTGGGCGTGTCTTTCTGCAAGAAGACTGTTTGGAAAGGTAAAGTGCGTAGACTAAGATCTGAGCACCGTATGGAAACGTTTGACCTTTTGTATGGAGCTATTATCATGCCAAGTTTTTTACTTGACGCATACCTTTCAATCGTGGACCGAACTGATGTGAGCTTTTCAATTTTGACCAGGGAAAATCGAACAAGGAACATACGATGAAAGTAAAGAAGCTTACACAACATGGATTTGCGAGGTCCGTTTGCTCATTTTTATTAATCTAAAAGCAGCAAGTTTGTTAAGTATTCTACTGATTTTGTGACAGTGAAGTTTGATTTGGGTAGTGACGAATATACCTCAACCACGACGAGCATTGTGTAATGGAAGGTGACTATCGCACTTCAGTTTTTGACTGAATCTAAAGTTTTATATTCATCAGGCCCATGCATTGTTACGAGATATGCGTGCGCTGGATGCGGGTGTGAACCCTATTGAAGATTCGGCAGTGCTTCTTAGTCCCGAACCTAGAGAATCTCTTGGAGAGGTTGCGAATATTGGTAAGTTCATTCGGGCAATTACATTTCTTCATAGCTCAAGCATTTGTACGTACAGCCGGTGAATAGAACATTTATGCTGTGTTTAGTATATTGACTATCTTTAAAATATTAGCATCCTCACTTGTAAATGCTTGTTTCTTTTCTTTAGTGCGTTACATTTTGTTGACGAATCTGAAGAGCAGTCAGGAAAAGTATCGACTACGATGTAATAAACTCATTAGTGTTTGTGGGAATTTGCCGTACAGCTAATCGAGCTATCTCAGCGGAAGTTGAACCCAGTGATAGGAGGATACACGAAGTAGAGCATATTAATAAAACTGCTCCGGATGTTGAAGAATTTCGCACCAAGGAGTTGAATACAGCTATATATGGTCGTGACTGGGCGAAAAAGAGTTCTGCTATTCTTGGGACAATGTTGCTCGTCTCTCAAAGAATTTGGGAGAAAGGATATAACCTGGACTTCAAAGCCAGCAAACAGCTGAAGTATTTGTGCTTTATTTTGATTGCCGTTGTTGTCGTTCTAATGCAGGTAAGCCATCGCCGAGCTGAGATCTGGCAGTTAAAAATGTATCTTGTTTCTGACTTATTTATCACATTGCCAAGAGGGAATTTGATCGAGTATTCTAACGAGAAACTAGAATTCTGATTGAAGTCGACTTTAACCTATGTGCAGATTGGCATTATCTTGGTTCTGGCCCGCACACCCAAACTTCAGTATGTTCCAGTTGGCTACCAAAGTTCCCCTGCTAATGTTAGGGGCTGCTTTGGAGAGCTCAGTGGGGAAGACGCTCTCGCTTGGCTAGAGCAGCGCACGAGGAATATCAAACAGGAGATAATAATGGCCGAGTCTCGATTGCAGACTTTGCATCAAGACCTCAATATTCTGAAGATGCATGCCAGTAAACTACTTGGTTTTGTGGATGTCCAATCTACTCACTTTACGTCGCCTGAATAGTGTATTGAAACAGATCAATCATAGGTTGTATATAAGTCACTCCATTTTTTGTTCATGATTAGTTTTATCAGAAGAGCTCTTTGCGAACCAATAGATCATGGGATCGTCTCCTCCTCTGTTAAGTTTAGCTAACTTTTGTAGTTAATTGTACTACTAATGTTACCGGTTTTGAACCCTCCTCCATCTTCACGAAAATTTCATTCATACAAGGTTGAACCTAGCCTCGATAGGCAACGAAGGGCAACGAATAAGATACAGAGCAATTTTTCAAGCGACCGAATTGTGCGCGCACCATCTTTCAATCTCGCATTTTTTGTCAGGTGGTCGACCAGTAACTTAATGATGTGGAGCTTCTCATCATGTCATATTCACAACTACTGATAGAAGTTTCTATCGGTATACACTAGCCAGGATGTCCATTGACGTTGCTATTTGATTTGTTTGTAGAGTTTGGGATGGAATGGATTATCCTTATGTGCGCATGAGAAAGGTTTTGGAGAACAACCTTACCGGATAATAATAGTCTCCAGAAGTAACAAATAGTGTATGCAGCTGAAAGGTTGGAATCGACTTTGCCTTCCGATCTCGTAATGTGTCTTAGTAACTAGGGGTCATCCGCGTATTTCCAAGTTATCTTGCACAATACCGAGCCAAATTGAGAGCTACCGAAGTAACAACAATATCACTGACCAGGACTCTTCGAATATCCGACGCGTACACATACCACATATTTCTGTTTGTCACTCCAGTTCTTTGCTGGTTTGGACGTTGGAGGCTGACTCTCCACTGAATTCGTGTCTTTCAAGCTGGTGGCGAGTGTACGAGAGGAAATTGATGTTTTCTTTAAAGTCTTCGTGTAATATAGGTAGCCCTTGACGGTATGCGCAGACCAGAACTTTTGTAAGCAGTGGGTTGTGAAAAAGGCATCTAACTACGTAGAGATAAAGTGTATAACACGAGTTTCTAGATCGAATATCTTGGCGAACTACAGAATTCACAAGTTCTGGTCAGGTACAAGCGCATAAACACCGTTATGCTCTTGTAATTGAATATTCTCGAAGACATCTCGAAGACATCATGAAGGTAAAGAGTCGGTCGTGTCGAATGTGTTTCAATCCCCACGAATTGTGTCGAAATATCAGAAAGTGTTTAGGGTTCTACGCTATTCCGTATAAAGCTTTTCTGTTCTGTCCACCTAGACCGTGCAGATATTTGATATGGTCCCTTGTGACAGGAGTCCCTGTGTCCGAAGTAGAGTCTTGAGGAACCGGTGCAAACCCGCGCTAGGTCGGAAAGTGATTTAGTTTTATAGTATATTGCTTTCCAATTTGTCCTGTCCGAAAGTGACGCACCTTACGTCTCGATCTTTGCTGTCTCACTATAATTTTTATTATTTTATAATGCTGCATCACATCTTCATCCAGTACACACTGTACTGACAAAGCAGTTGTGGGTCGGGAGTTAAGAGATTATCAATTGATGCGTATATTGACCGTAACAAACTGCTGATTGTGTTCTCTACTATTTATAGAAAACCTGTGTCAACACAAAAGTTACGTCTCTTATGGGAAAGTGAAAGGTTTGATAGGGCCCGTTGACACTGTGCAAATCGCCGTGATATTCTGTGGTAGATCAGAGGCACTTTAGTGCTCTGCTTCTACAAAGCATATCAAATTCTTCAGAAGATCTGGATATGACATACGTTGCGGATGTAAAGCTTGAGTGTCAAATGATCTTTTAACAGCAAAACTAGGTTATCCATTTCTTCATCGTGAGTTCTTTTCTTATGTTATAAAGCTGTTGATTAGTTAGAACAATGCTGTTACTATTCATTTTTCTTACGTTGAAGACAAGCCCAACGAACAAAATCGGTGAAGCCGGTGTCCAACTATATTCGTCAAGAGTATGGGTAAGCTCAGCATTTACCATACCAGTGGGCACTTTGAAAACTTGTGGTTTTATAGAACTCCAAGAATCAACAGTCACACTCCTATATTGTCTCCCATTTGAAGTCGGAGTTACATGTCTTCAATCAATACATGATGCAATTTACACCAACTCTTTACTAATGCATATACCAAAAGTATATTACCAAATTGTTACTTCAATAATCATGCTCCGTATACATGATTCTCCTTTGAAGTGACAGGTATAACTAGAAAGGTCAAAGTGTCCCTTCAATAATCATGCACCGCATCCATGAACCACATTTGTAGCAACAAATTCAACTAGAAAGCCCAAATTGTCCCTTGAATAATCATGCCCGCCATCCATGGTACATCATAGGAACAAATGCAGATACTTTAATTCAAAGTATCAACCAAAGAAATATATAAAATTCATCACAATGATCAACAATCTTTGCAGATTTAGATTAATGCATATATTTACTTTGTGTTTCTACACAAACATTAAATATTAGGTACACCATCTCAAGACTTCATCTTCATGGGGTCATGGTGGCTTTAGTATGCACCTGATGCACAACATCTTTTCAACCAATTTTTGTCCACTTTTAAATTACTTGGTGTTCAAAATAAAAATTTCAAGCATTTTGAAAATAGTGCTGTGCTTCGGACGTGCATATAATGCTTGAATTTGTCCATAACATCACATTTACCTGAAAGAAAAGGTTGAGGAAAGTACTCATGCACATTATTTGAGTATTAAAGGCTACGATATCTTGTTGCGAAGATGCCTTCTGAAAACTTTGATGCCATTTGCAGTTCATTTACCGACTTTGGCTTCACAGTTATTAGCCGTAGGTTTCCTCCGAACATGCACGCTAATTCGATGCAGGGATATTTCAGCAAAAGACCGAGCCATACTTTATGTAGCATAATTGGGCAGAGTGCACCTCTTCCTCGCTTTAGTAAAGTATGGTGTCTGCCCAAAGGACGAAGTGACAGTGCTCTGGAGTGACTCGGCCTCAACGGAGGCCACGTGCGAAGGATGAACCAAAAAGGAAACAAGCCCTCCAACAGACTTCACTTCGCATTGCAGCATTAACTGCACGTCGCGCTCCTACGCCGTTCACTTGCAACGGAATAAAGAGGACAAGCGGAGGTGGACGGAGAAGATCACATCCGTAAGCACACGTGCCGTCCCTTTTTCGCGAGTGCACAAAGGAAAGCCGATTTGCTGCAAACGTCGATGTCGCCAATTTGTTCTCGCATTTCCCTCAATAATAATTGGAGGCACATCAGTAGAAGAGGTTTTAGGGCATGCAGGCCAGAGCGAGACGCGCACCGGGGTCGGCGGACGGAGCGGTTTCTGTCCGTGAGTCACACGTGTCGGAAGCGCAAGGCGGGACGGAAAGGAGGACTGGGCAGGAATCAGAAACTTCGATCGGGGCGCCAGTGGACAGGTGTTGGTCAGTCCGACAATATCTAAAAATATATTCAGAGAAGAATTTTATTAATTCATAATGATGAATAAGAATTTTGTTTGCTGCGTGTCTTCGGGCCAAAGAAGGAACGGGTTGGCGAAAGAGTGAGGGAAAAGTGCGGAGCGTGAGAGCGCGTGCGTGGTGGCCACTTCAGGAAAACGTTGCGGGCTGCTTGCGCTGTTGCGATGGTCGACGAGCATCAGTGCCAGCGTCGCAGCGCATCGCAGCGCAGGCAGGCAGGCAGGCAGGCAGGCACACAGAGCTCACAGTGCCGCAGCACGCACGGAAGGAAAGGTGAGGCCAGGCCCGGCCAGGCCAGCCAGCGAGCGAGTGCGAGACAGGGGAAGGGATCAGATCCCAGGCCTGGGAAGGCGTGGGACGGGACCGGGACGGAGCGGACATCGTACAGACGCAGAGGGAGGGAGGGATCGAGCGAGCGAGCGAGCGAGAGAGAGCCGAGATTGAGTTCGATTGAGTGAAAGAGTGAGTCAGTGAGCGAGCGAGCGAGCGAGTGATTCAACGCATGCATGCATGAGCGGTCGAGCATCCGCGGTCTGGGCGGGCAGGGTTGGGAATCAGAGGGCAGGACCGTGAACCTGAAACAGCGACAGCAGCAACAAGATTAACAAGATTTGGAGTCGCGATGAAAGAGGAGCGGAGGAGGAGCAGTGGAGCGAAGGGCGGAAGATAGAAGCGCACAGTGCTGTACCTTCACTGTGGGCGAGTGGGAGAGGGAGAGGGAGTGGGGAGAGGGCAAACGAACTGGATCGTGACGCCCGTTTGGTTTGGTTGGTCGGTTGAAGAGGAGGATCGCGGTAATGCTTTGGCTTTGGCTTTGGATTTCTTTGTTCTTTGTGTCGGCCCTTTCTCCTTGGGTGCGAGTTTTCAGTAGTCATGGGTGTGGGGTGCATGTGGATTGCTGGTGGCCGGGCGCTGTACATTGAGTAAATTATAGCATTGACTGGCTGTCTGGAGGGTGGGCTGGTGGGCGGGCTGGCCCGGGAGGTCCACATCTTTGGGTTTGATGTTTCGTGGAAGTGTGGACCATCGGGGGTGGTGTGGATTAGGGATCGATGTTTGAGAGGTTTGGTCGTCGTTGAATGAATGAAGGGAGGGAGGTAGGAAGGGAGGCAGGGAGGGGAGAGCGACATGTTAGCGAATGGGAGAGACCGAAGGGAATAGAAAGGAAATGGTGGAGAAGGAGAGGGACGTTGGTGACAGATCCGAATCCGGATGCGAGCTCGTGAATCGAATGTGATGAGTCTGGCAGAGTTTATCGGTGTGTGAAGTAGAAGAATTCGTCGTGCTGAGTCGAGTTGAGTTTACGGGGGATCGTAGTTGTTCGATAAGTTGAACGGACGCTTCTCACGTGAGCTCAAGACTTGTGTCGAGTAGCCGATTTGCTTTGCTGCGGGTTGGCGACAGAGAGCAACCAGACATGCATGCTGTAGGCGCAATTTTATGTGTTGACGTGTTTGAGGAACGGATTTAAAACATTCTTTTTATAGCACGTAGCGGGAGGTATTGTGTATTTTTACTCGTTGCAATGCGGAGCTGGCGAGAAGAAGCGATTGCTACGCCTGAGAATTCCTGTGTAGACGATGTTTTCATGTGTTTCAATCTACGATATGGACATGTGTAACGCGACGTTCTGTGGAGGGTTGTATGTGTCACATACATTCGCCCTTGAAGAGTTTGTGCCATGTGGTTATTCTTGATGATGTGGCATCATGACAATCATAGAATGCAACCAAGCGAGAAAATATTCAGATCAGAAGCATATCAAGTCCACGTCTGACATACAATCTCCTCACTGATTACGCATGGAAGCGATCCTTGCGTGGATCTACGTCGATATCTGATCATGTCATGATGGCTTGCAGGGCTCTAAGTGCTACGGAAACATTGCTTTCAGGAGGAAAGCAGGCGACATACCACGGTTATTGCATCTTGCTGGGTCCTGCCTGGAGTTGTGGCCTTCAACCCTACGTCGAGCTGTGTCTTGTAAATGTAGAAAAGGCGTAGTGCTTGGCAAGTAGATTCGGAAGCCATGACTACGCATCAGGCATGATTGAACGGGCAGCTGTGTTCACATGCAATGAGAGGAAACTGCCCTAGTTTATGGGTTGAGTGAAAGAAGTGACTACTGAGCACTGATGGGACCGATTTTTTGCACCCTTGTGTTCCAGCAGGGAACTGACCCTGGTAAAGGCTCGTGGTGTTGTCGTCCTCTGCAATTTATAGGGTGGTTGGACAGTAGAGTTCAAAAATCTAGCTTCCCTTACATGGCCTTCAGAGTGTGTAGATAAACCTTGAATTTACAATCGCTTACAGTGACATCTTCTAGAAACCGGGACTATATGTTTGAATTCTACTTCTGTCCATGTTACCGAAATTGAGAGACGTGATCAGACCTCAGAGGGATTGTCTTGCGAGCGAGTTACCAATTTCGACGGTGGCGCTGGGTCTGTAGGCGATATAAAAAAATCCATTTTTTTTTGTGGATGAAGTATGTAATGGCCGAGAGGCAGAGTGTGAACGATGTGGAAAAGCCGCCAAACCATCTGAATCAAACGACAGAAGAAGTTGCAAGAGCTGCAGTAGCAGCGGCTGCGGCAGTTCGTCCCCGCCCATCAATTGTTGTGTCGTCAAAGTATCAGAGTGCGAACAATTTCCACAAATGGCGGAGATCGTTGCAAAAGGCTTTCAAGTGGGGCACCGGCACACGGGAGCGAGATAGAAGGAATCTCTTCAATCCTGAACTTTTAACTCGACAAAAGCGCCAGTGGAGTGAATTGCAGTTGCAAGCTTTGGTACAAAGTTCATTACTCTTCTCAAAACAATTGCTCACGTCTGCAAGGGTAGACTAAGCAAATGTTTTATCGACTAATAGCAAAGGGGTGAAAAATTTATGCTATGCTTCTTTCTTGTTCAAATCCCATCCAGTTAAGGGACTGAGCATACCAAATTCAAGTGGCTCAGTTGTGCACATTAATAGGGAGGATCAGTTTATGCGTGCTATCCGTTCTCCCGAACATGTTGGACCCAAACATTGTCAGTGGATGTGGATTAATTGAAACGGATGCTGCAGTTAATACCCGCATTGCACATGAGGACCCTGTCGTAAATGAGGCAAAGGAATGTCTAATTATAGGTCATTTTTTATAACAGAATCTTGTTTATCTTGTTGGGGATCAAGAACAATTTGTGTAAGGACTTCGACATCTAAATGTGCAACGCTGAACGTATTTAGCATTGACTGCCGGCAACCAAACAACCAGCTTGGATTTTCGGGTTTCTGTGGGTTTCACCGTGTGGAGATTACACATTTCCTGTTCGAAATCTGCTTGTTCATCCATTACATTCTGTTCAATCTTTAGCATTCTTGCCATCGAGGTTGTCTTGAAATAATTATTTGTATTTAATTTGTATTCAATTTTCCTGCGCAGGAAAAGAAGCAGACAAAGAAGGAACGTGTTTGTTTTTTTGAACACTTCGTTGTGGTGGGGTTACACCCAAGTGCAAATGTGGAGGCAACTGAAGTCGCTTTCGCGAAGAAGAAAGCCTGGCAAAGAGATTCTGAGCGCTCAGAATGGCTTGGAGGTGATGCTAAAACTCAGCATCGAGGGCCACCTCAGCCCACCTTAGAACCTCAGGTGCAAAACATACCTTGTCATGGACCTCGTGCAAAACATACGGCCCCATCACGATCTTCTTCTGCCTCACGATCTGAAACCTGAACTCTGATTGTTGTTTGGTGGTTTGGTTTCAGGTCCTATTCAAGTACCCCCCTGGCAAGCGGCTCCCTCTGAAAAGTAAAGATTTGCCTGCGTTCTGTTTCCCAAGCGGGGTTGAGGTATGTCCTGCTGCGACTCCGAAGTGGACTTTATTCTGACTCAAAGAATCAACGTTGAGGCAACATCGATTCCTATCTTTATTGTCAAGTAGCACTTCTAAGAATATATTTCGGAGAATCAAAAGGTAGTCTTGCTTTCTTTCAGGACCAGTATTGATACTTTGTAATAATAGAGTCTCTATCTTTCTATTTCTGACGTAGGCTCGGCTTATGGAAAGAACGCCATCAATGAGCGAGCTAAACGAGGTCATGTACGGACAGGTATGCTTTGGTCTACGTTTCTTTGATCTTGCATCTGCAATTGTGAAGTCGGAAGCTGTAATTTAGTTCAGGTTGTTATCAAACTCCTACTTGATGACCAGTAAACCTGTAAGAACATTCAGTTCACATCCAGAGGGGATGCACAGATCAACTTCGTGACCGAATTTTTGAACTTTGCCATCACAGTGATAAACATGTCGAGCAGCACTGAAGATTTTGACAACCATAAGATACAAACCTACGCTGTTTCTGACACTTTTCCCATTTTCCTCGTATTTAAAGCCTTATATTTATCATGCAGTGGCTTTGCTTTGGTTTAATATCCTCTTTGCATATATTTTTGCTCACTTACTTGTTGTACCCCTACGTCGCATTTGCCATACAAAAACTGTTCCCTTTATTGTCCCACGAGTGCGTCATCAAAGCTAACTGTCTACTCTGCGACTGTGGAATACACGAATACGTATTAAGAGTTGCTGCACTCCCTGTATTTAGTCTATGTGACGACTTTTGCTGCTATGTAAAGTCTTCGGAGAAGAAATTCGATTTAAAGATCTAGCATCACTGATTGGGTAGAGGGTAAAATTCGAGTATGTGGTATCCTCACTTCTGGTGTTCTGTCACTGATCATCGCAGAGCCATCAGAAAAGGGATGATCAGTCTTTCATCTTTTTACTAAAAGTGAGTAAAATCTCGTCCCAGTTTTTGAAAGTAGCTCGATATTGTTGCCCATGTTAAATGATATTTTCACCAGCACCTTGTGTTTAGCTAAATGGGGAATTGTTCTCATTTCTAGTCACAATGAGTAATTGATGAGAGTCACTTACGCCTCGTTGTATGCCTGTCTTGATCGAATGCAAGTTGAACCCTCACTGATTGTTCTGCTAATCTTATACAGGTTGCAGATAATGTAACTCTCTATGGAGTATGTGTGCTGGTAACAGAAATTGTTCAGCGGTTGCCAGGAATTTTGGCGATGAACACAGCTCAGTCACCACCTCGATCACAACCAAGCCGGTTCCTGGTGTCGGCACCTCGCTGCTATTGCTTTCTGACGAAACTTCCATTCTTTAATTTGCACTTCGAAGTTTTGAACAGGTAGGGAATGTAGTGACTTCGGATTGTTGTCGTCTCTGTCAGAGTTGGTCACTTTCACCTTCTTGCACTACTCTTACCTCTCTTTGCCACAGGATCAAGTGTAAACTTGATCCTGTGGTACGTGAAAAGCCTGCACGGATGTTTTCTGTGGCAAATAGAAATGGTTGATTGTGAATGGTTTTGCAAGGGATAGCATACGTCTTCTCGGTGCTATGGATGCCCTGGTACGAATATTCAAACAGCGTCAATCTTTTTGTTTGGAGTCGGACTGACGCTGGAGCTCTGTTTGTTTGAAAACAGCATTATTGCACAGGAGCGTTTGGACAGAATAACGCAGTGTGTGAACGAGATGACATTAGCACAGCACGTGCCATCGATGGTGGAAGCCGTGAGCAAAGGTAGCTTATCGTCCCCTGGAAATGAGGATGATCCTGACGGGTGGATGGAAAGTGCAATTCCGGTAGACAGCGTCCTTGGAGCTACTGCAGCTGCGGCAGGTTTAATATCTGAGAAGGATGTTCCGTCCTTTTCCTCAAAAAGCTCTGGTCCTCTGTCACCTGATGGTCATCTAACTTCTTTGTCACCCACTTCCGTGACTGGCGCTGACGGCAAGGACAGCAATGGGTACAGAGATACTGACAACGTTCTTCCCGAGGAGGAAAGGCAAGAAGGAGAAGATCAAGGGCTCAATAGTATGGGTAGACTAGCAGTAGAACTGAAAAACATTGGCAACGGTTCTAAGATGGTTCCGAGCTCTTCAGAGAGGGAACTTGTGAGAATGGGCCATGAGCGGATGGAGAGTTCTGAATCCATATACAGGTTCGCTCTAGCAACATAATACTTCTGTCACAATGTAAATATAGGTCTGCTCACATTCGTCCTCGGTAGCTACATTGGCTTCTTAAGGTCTGTCATTTTAGGACTTCGACAATAAGTTTTGGCGTAGTTCAAGTCAAATCACGAAAATGTGAGAATTATTGTCTTTGAGTAGCCTCCGATGCGTCGTTCCAAGTCTGGAACATGATATTGTTGCCGATATCATTTCGGTGGCTCACTTCGAATGCAAACTGTGTCGTTGTATCTCACTCTTGTCCAGTTGATAGAGCCGGAATTATTTTGAATGTAGTTTAAACTTTTCTTTGAATTGTAGTTTGAATGTGATTTTTTATTTTTTTTAAAAGGTTCAGACTTCATGATGTAGACAGGTATGTTTCTAATTCGAGTTCTGACGAATAGAGTTTGAACTGCCATGTCCGCAGCGTGTTTGAGAGCTCCGTCAGAAGCATGGACTCGGATGATGACGGTGGAGATGATGAGACTTCTCCATTTACGGAAGAGGATTGCTATGGTTCTCAGGCCGTACTTTCTTGGGCTGAGGTAAGGATGTTGGTGCATGTCTCTGGAGGTTCAGGCTCATTACCTGTACAGCTTCATTCTAGCTATGCAAGCTGGTCAGAAACAACTCACATGTGTTTCAGAAATTGTATTTCGGGAGCGACGTGTCCTCAGTATTTGATTCGTTGCTTGATGCGTAACGAATCAACGATTCGTTACGCATCAAAATTTTGGTTCAGGCTTTCATGGTACAATAGACTCCCATTCAATTCCCAATGTACCAGCACCATTCCATGTAAGTCGCTGTGGTTTGTCCAGGCCAACAACAACGATTCGTTGCGACTCGTTTGTGCATATCACCGGACACCTGTTCCAAAAAGAGGCGAGACAACCGTTTTTCACCCCTTAGAGCATCTTCAACCCATGAACTTCAGCAGATCTGGAGAAATTCCAGCATCACTCATGGGCATTAGACTTATGGATCGTCATGCCTGCCGGACCAGCTTGGAAGTTGCTGAGGTAACTCTTTTTTTAATTTCCTCCAGTCTATGATTTATTATCGCGGTTATTTATCAGCTCAAAGACTCGTATATGTATTTTTCAACTTTGTGAAAGTATTAACATCTAGTTGGAACTTGTCAACAGGTCCAAGCAGCTGTTATGGCAGGAGAGGAAGCTTTGTCAATCTCGACATGGGCTGTTGCCACCGTATGTCGAGCACTCTCACTTGACAATGTAAGACACACAAGCCTTTGTTGGGAAAAATGGTTGACCTCTGGAAAAATATCACTGTTGAGGAATGTTGATGTTTCTGTTTCATGATGTTTCTCCGATATTTTGGTATCGATGAGCTGACTTATAATTAGGGCCATAATTAAGTAGGATATCTGCCCTATGTATTAGTGTGCCTTGTGTAGATTCTTTCGAGTTTTGTGAACTTCAGACTTATGCGAATGGCGACTTTGTGAATCAACCTGGCATACGGATCAATTGTTGTGGAAGAAAGGTAACCTGATTTCAGACATTGTGTAGGTTTTGACACTTTTTGCGGGAGCATTGTTAGAGAAGCAGATGGTTGTCATCTGCCCAAACTTGGTATGTGCTCCGAGACCTCTCTCGTCTGCTTTTACCTGTTGAATGGCGAAATTTGTGGCTTCACATTCGGGAGCTTTTTCAGTTCAAACAGTGTATCCTGCATGTGTTAATGCATGCTCACCTTACATGACATGAACGAATGTTGGGACAGGGTGTATTATCTGCGGTGGTAATGTCATTGATACCCATGATTCGACCGTACGAATGGCAGAGTCTCCTCTTACCGGTGAGATGTTTTGAACGTTTAAACAGTTTGCATGTGTTTGGACTAAGTTGTGCAGAACACCAATGTAAACTGTAACTTGAGGTCATCATTCCTTGAATTTGATGAATGTGATGAAACGAACCATCCTATTATTGTGATAAGTTGGGGGCCGGAGTCAATATGGCAATTTATAACGGTTCATGCTTTAGGTTTTGCAATTTTGATTCTGTGCTTGCCTGTAGTTTAGGGTTGATGTATTGAGATCAGGGTTTTCTCATAAGTAATCCTCGTCACGCTAATGTCTTTCCTATTGCAGATTCTACCCAATAAGATGTTGGACTTTCTCGAAGCACCCGTTCCTTTCATTGTAAGTATTGTTTTCTCCAGTTCTCTGCCTTATTTTGGCTCTTCTTTCCAACCGTTTGCTGTTCAAAGCAGAAAGTTTGTTCAATAGAAGAGCAGGAGAGCAGAAATTTGGTCGGCCTTCATTTCCATATTAGAGTAATATGATTTTGAATAGTTTATATGTCGGTCTCTGATTATTGTTATCCAGTGGATAAAAGAACGCCTACAAGAACAAACTATATGCTGCTCGCCAAGTTAGTTGGAGGATACTGCTGTTCATTCGGCATCTGACTTGCGTGTCCATGTGCTTGTTACAGGTAGGTGTTCAGCACAAGACTCATGAAGTCCGTGTGAAGTCAGCAAATCTTATTCGGGTCAACGTGTACAAAGATAAGGTATGTCTTTTTCAGTGGCATGTTGGCTGAATATGGAGAAATTGTGGCTTTGGTGTCCGCGGAGAAAGCAAATAGGCAACTGCCAGTCTCCGTTTATTCCGCTACCTGTTTTCGGTACGGTGTTTAAAAGATTTAAAATCTTTGCCCTGAATAAGTTTTGTGAATAGAAGGCCGTATTGTTAATTTACTTCCCTAGCCATTCTTTACTTAATTAGTTCATAGTGTCAGATGTGAGCACATACATGTTGTGGTCATTTTTCTAGATCGTAGTAAGTCTGAAACAAAATTGACCAAAGCTTTCCTAACTGTACTATCTGAGTTTTTCTTGTTACTAGACCCCAATGTACTTTCATAGTATGAGAGGGCATTGTCTCACAACGTGGCTGAGCTGGTGGCAAAAGAAACTTACTCCTAGTTTTTAAGCTTGGGTTTAAGCCGAGGTTGCTGCTCCTGGAATAGATTCACTTTGGTGCAATAGACATTAGAGGTGGATGAGCTAGTGCCCGGGTTTCTTGACACCTGAAAGCTTCAAAACAACCTTAAGCGAGGGTAGATGTCGTTCTACAATTAGGGAGCTGCGTGCCTCCTAAGTGATCCTCTCTCTCCTGCCTCCCTCGTCACATCAGCTTACTTCTTCACAGTGTATTTCTACTAGCACTCTACAGCCAGGGTGCGGTGCCTATGGTGTCCATGTTATGACAGGCATTTTCTGTCAATTTCGTTCAATTTTAACCTTCATTCCTTGAATTCTTTTTGTTGGTTCTGGACTTACAGGCTATGTTTGTCTGTGAACTTGAGTTACTCTAGATTTGAATTTGATGAGATTTTCATTTCGAAATTGGATTATTCTTCTGTTTTGATGAGTACTCTTAGAGATTGAGTGCCCTTTTATCTAATATGCATCGTATTTCTAAATAGCTCACTTTCGAGTATTGCGTAAACTCAAGTTTGACAGTGAGGCAGTCAATAGCATATCCTCATTTTTCATTGTAGAATGTCTAAGCTTATAAGTGGCCTATCACAGGTAACAGCATCGTATATGCCACAGCTACCTCGTCATAGAGAGCTGTTTTCTACTTTGGAACCTTATTACAACAAACTAGCTGCTGAGCAGAGTGTTGCGAAACGGCACCCGATTCACGAGTTTAACGAAGTGCAAGTAAGTGACACTACCATGATTTAGGTGCTTTCTAAACCTAGAGAGCTGGAGAAGTTCCGCCTTATTATACCTGATGAGCTTATTTTAAGCAGAATTTACGACTTATGAATGGGTTTTCACCTTCGTCAACCGGAATAATCAGCTTCTGCATCGGGGTCCATGGATTCTAGTTTCCTTGCAGCCATTCGTCAATCAATTTCTAATTTAGAGACCCAGCATGAAAATGGTGAAAATCTTGATAGTTTTCGTTCTCACGTGTCTGTGTGTGTACTATAACGGCTTACCTTCATGCATCGACATGATTCTTTTCCTATATCTATATATGCGAACTATGAGGATTTTAACCGCACTCAATTGGAAGACTTGTCTGAAGAGAAGATCGATATCAAATTTTGGCGCCTGCCAAAATTTGATAAACTTCAGTTGGCCAGAGGTTTAGACTCCTAATTCAGGAATGGGTTGTAATGCAGGCCCAGGCATCTGAAGGTTTTCTTGCAGTGCTACAAAACTACCTGGAATCCTTGTGTATGGATTTGAGGGCGCATACCATAACGAATGTCCAGTCCAACGATGACAAGGTGAGTTTAGTAGTGGTGAGATTATGACCTTTCAAGTTTATACTAGTCCTAGTCGGCAGGCTCTGCGGACTAGGGTTCTACATCTATTTCGCTGGTATAAACTGGTAGTGGTTATTAAAGGTTTACGCTATTTGCTCATCCTTCTAATTACTAGGCTGTCAATCGTAGGTCTCACTGTTGCTGAAGGAAAGCTTCATTGATTCATTCGGGAGTCGAGATCGTCCGTTCATCAAGGTATAACATGGGATTTTGCAGCCCAGAGTGGTTTAACTTTGAGATTCCAAGTTTTTCTGAGTGTATGTAAGTCTTTACTTTGATACAGAATTGCTTACTCTAAGTGGCTGCCAATTGACTCTTGGAAATATCCCTTGGTTTGCAGCTTTTTGCAGATACACAGCTATTTTCAGTCTACACCGATGCTGTTTTGTCAAGCTATCAAAATAGCTAGCTTTGGAGGGAGCATCTGATACCCTTGTTGCTCTTGCTGATAATCCCTGTACACTAGTTTATACATTCATTTTTTCTTTCTAAACCCTTAATGGGTGAATATGCACTCATCGGGAATCTTAGGGTCGGTCCCATCATACAATAGACAGAATATTCCTGCCAGTTAGAATCCGATCAACTACATGAATCCAAGTGTGATCCGCGTTCAACACTTAGAATTGAATTTTAACCTGTCATGCAATGTAATGCCGATCTTCTTTCCGGTCTTGGTGGAGAGTGAGTAATGGTCCTATGTAATTAGTAGGGACAGTAAGAACTCCATCATGGCTGTGAGGAACTTCAGCACTTCTGTCACATCTCCTATCGAAGTGCAGCCAAGGGTCTTTTAAGCAAGCACAGAAGGGTGATTTTGCACCTTACAGCTTTTGCAGGTGCTCAAAGCGTTTCTCATAGGGATCATTCCGAGCTTCTAGTCAGAGTGATCATTGGGTAATAGATGATCTTGCTGTCGGAATGATCGTTGTTTTTCGTAGAGCTAGAGTGTAAGAGTAGCCATCGAAATGCGTCATCTATGTCACGCATTTTTTTTCACATGTTGAGCTCGTCCGGTTCTGTCCAGAAGAACTGGACAACAAATGCCATTTTCAAAGAGCAAAGCATGTTGCTGTTTGTTCCGTATCAAATGCTGATTTTCCAACAGCTTATCACGTCCATGATTTATATTTCAGACTGAGTATAGGAAGTTCATTCTGTCTTCTGGGTTGGTCGATAGTTTTTTCTTTGGTGCATACTTTCTTACTTTTCTCGTAGTGCGTCGAGTCCAAGTCCTTTTATTGCACATGTTTTAAGTACAACTGCCATCTACTTCTAGTGGCGTGTATATTAGATGTAGAATAAAGGCTATATTTTGTAAGTTTTACAGTTTCGAGCCAACGTTGTTATTAGTTCTTACATAGTGTAACGTAGATGTTGCTTGATGTAGTTAGGACTTTGTCACACCGCTTGCTGAACAGGACAAATTGCAACATTCTGCGGCCGTACATTTCCGGGAAATTTACGTTTTACGTTTTACTAAATATTGGTCCTGTTTTCTACGAGATCTCCTCTGGAAGTTGTGGTTATAGTACGAAGCTCATTTGCCAAATTCAAGTTCATTAGTATTTGCGTCTTGAACATGGCTGGTTTTCCTGCCTTGTTGTAACACCAATTAGCATACCATGTGGATTGTGAGCAGGAGCGAGTAATCAAAACCAATGATAGTTTGTTTTTCTGTTGTTCGGTTATTCCTTCAGTGGTCATTTTGACATTTGATATACTGAGAATTGTACCAAAGGCCTGTTTAACATCATAGAAGGAATGTAGGCACATAATCACCCTGGGTACTGTGTGATGGAACCATTAGTTTCTTCTATTACAAAGCGATGTAGTCTGGAGGTCAGGAGGTTAGAAACCTGGCTTAGATCTTTGTCACGAAATTTGTAATATAAGAAATTACAGACCGCACTGTAGGCAATACCAGTTACCTGTTCAGCACCAGTTTATAGTGTACGGGAAGTGTACCATGAGGATGAGAGAAGTTAAGAGGTTGAAGACTGCATTCATGAGAACGTTTCACAGCCAAAGTATTATTGTTGGAACCCTTTAATGTAGACATATTCCTCACAATGTGATGTCTACTGGATGAGTAGTGTCACGCATATCTTTGTCAAGACACCTCTTGGTGTGAAAGCTTGTTCCAACTACACGGATATCTTCTTCAGGGTATCGGGATTGTGTGAGACCAAGAACACATGTAGATTATAAAAACCTTCTTTCCTATTAAATGGTAAGTATAACGATTGTCATGAATCAGATTTTTTTAAGTATGAAACACGGAAATGAGTAAGTATGCATCAACTCGAATTTGCCTTTCACTTTCAGAAGTTAAGTTACGTTTACGGTAAGATGTTTATATGTATGTATTGATGAATAGGTAAATATTTTGATAATTATTAGTAAAATTCTGCATCAAATAAATTATGAGCTTACCTAAATATTGTAAGTAGATGTCTTTATTTATGTATGTTGAAGTTATAATATGATGTGTTATCTGTAGTTATGATAATTTTCACAATAATGTGATATTAAACTATATAATTTTCAATTTAATAATACATTAGAGTAACAAGATATGAACTGTATTAAAAATTTGGAGAGAAGGTAAAATACTAATAATCACTTAAAATATCTAGAAAATAATATGGAACAATTGAAAGTACCACTATATTGCCAACAAATTCACATAATCATATTTCAAAGTAAACTTGTCGCGTATAAAATTATTTATGTAGTATCCAATTTGGAATTTTTTTAGTCATAAAATTTTAAATAGGACAATTGTAAATGATTTACAATAATTAATTGATGAATAATTTACTTATGACATCAAATATTTAGTTATATTTTAATTCAATTATTGCAAAATTGCACTATCTTGAAAAGATTAAATAAATTCAACTACATCATGATATTAATAGTTCAAGTTAAAATATGTATAATAAATTAGATAGAATATTAAAAACTTTTGAATGATATTTTTAGAAATGATGTTTTGTAATAAAATATAAACTTTTTTTAGATGATAAATCATATTCTGTTCATTGCAATAAACTTCAATCTCTTCATAAATATATTTCTTACAATTGTGAATTGTATATTATTGTGTGATTTGGATGAATTTCAACTTAGTATCTCCAATTTTGGAATTATTAATATTCTTTCATGATGATATAAATTCATAAATAATAATCAATAAATGATATATAATACGGCATATCACACTGTTAGAAATTAAATCAGATTTTCTGGTAATTTATGTTAATTTGAACATAGTTTATCAAAGTTTGTTAAATTTTCACAATTTTCTCAAAATTTTTTTGAGATTTTTTTTATGACAATTTAGAATTTATATTTTATAACCTTCTGAATATAGTATGTGAATGTTGACACAAGTGTGTTTTGTTTTAATATGTTTGTTTGATGCATTTATAATTTTATTTTGATAATAAATACATACAAAAATAGTTATATGTCAAATACGGGGAAAAGAATTGACATTTTTTTTATGTGCATTTATTAGTAGATAGATGATGTATAGAAGAGTGCATATTGGATTAATAAAAGATTCAAAAGTTTAAAAATATAAATATGTAAATTGTTTTGATTAATTAGATATAAAATATAGTTTTCTTAGTATGGAGATAGTATTGACATATACTGTATTATCTATAGTTGTCATGACAACCATCTATATGATTGATATTTAAAGATTAAATGCATTAGTTAACTACGACAAATCAACAATAGCTACATATGTTTGTTAGATAAAGATTCAATATGTTAATTGAAAGCAACACTTCAATCTTTCATGTGCATGTTATTTATATTATATCAATTTATTAGAGATAGAGTGGTGGTGGAGATGAGATAAGCTCGTCTTGTATGTGTTGGAAATATTTATATAAGAAAAAAATTGTTTAATTCTAAATGTATTTCATATTTAAATTTTGGAGGTATTTATTTGATGAGATACCATCGGACCTAAATTGCTTGATAATATCCATCAAATTTTGTTTTATCCGATGGAACTTCATCGATGTCACACAGTCGCGAACTTCTGAAACGTGTTCTTGAACACATATGATGTGAGCCTTTTTAGATCTCTATAATCACAAATCGTTACTAGCTTCATCTTCGTTATTAGCACCACTTCCACAAGTTCTTTCTTGAAGTAAGAAATCCCATCTACGTTTCACTTCTTACACGAAAAATTTGTTTGCTCAATATATTGCTTTGTCGCGTTACATTCGACAAAATTTTATTTCATGACATTTCTCTTTGGAACACACTAACTTTCGTAGTCAAATCGATTCGTCTTTCAACTTACACAAAAATCATCGTTACTTCAAGAGTAATCGTTGATTCGTGTGCAAGATGAATGGCGTCGGACGTCACTTCAAGATCTGAATTTTGCAGTTCGAAGATGATCACGAGACAAGAGTTTGCCCAATCCGATTTGCCCGGCTCGTGAAATTTGAGCAACAATGGTGGCCAAGTGTTTGTTTATTGTAGTGGAGAATCTGATTTGAGGATGCGATGTAGATTCACTTGTGCATCTTGTGACGGACTTACAATCACGGTTGTCTAAAAGTAGGCAAGCCTCGCTGAAATCGCTTGTGGCATGAAGGAGAGTCCTACAAACTCTCTTGCGTCTCGAATCAGACAAGGCTTTGCGCAAAATCTCACGCAGCAATGAGCTCCAAGACTCTTCACAACTTTCAAGCGCAAATTATCTCCGCACGCTAAGTATCACGAGAGATCTAAATCCTGCAGTATTCTCGCATGAGCTCCAAGGTAATAAACGCAATCGCTGCGTCAGAGTTCCACTTCTTGCACCGTTGTGATACTAGAACATGTGTGACGTATACCGTTAATGAGGTCTCATCGAGTTGAACAAAACTTGAAGAGTTCCATTAATCAATTTAGGTTTCGATAGGATCTCATCAAGTAAATACCTCTCAAATTTTGTGTATCATGTTTCAATGAACTATTACTTTAATCTCTACTCTTACAACAGTATAAGAATTAATCTAATCACCTTTTTGAATGGTAATTATTCCTTATATTATAACAAGAATATAATGACATACTTTAGTTCTTGATAATATTTAAAGTTTGACAAAGTTGATTAATGTGTATATAAACAAAAAGAAAATGAAAACTTGTGGTTTTACTAATATGAATAATATGATAGAATTCTAAAATCACAATGTCTGATTTCCAATATGTTGACATTCATCTTAGTTTCATGGAGAAACATCATCCTATGATGTACATTATAGCATATTTAGATGCAAAAGTTATGATTTAAATATGAAATGATCACACTATACAAGATATTGGATTGTATCAATTACATTATATATTTAACATTTGATGTACTTGAATTCTAAACTTATAATGTAGGTTAAATATTAGATAGATCATCATCACAATTTGATTCTATTGGAGATCAAATCAATCTTTTGTTTTAAATAAAAAAAATCATAAGATAAAAACATACAAGAAAAATAAATTCAATAGATTTTAGGAGTGTTGGATGATGAACATGAATATAAATTTGTCTAATTTTAATGTTTTTAATGTTTTTGTAAGAATTTTAATGAAATAGTGCTTCATGTATGAACTCCAAATTAACTTTTATTCATATGTACTTTAAATAGCTTTTTAATAACTTATCATGGTTCTAGAAAACAATAATTCTTCAAAATATCTGTGCTCCAAACACTTTTTTGCACAATCTTTTCATTCATCTTTCAAATCCAATCACTCATCAACATTCCAATATGATAGTGAATTTTAACATTCTATTGATATAACAAGTTCTCATATGATCAATTCTTTAAACCTGTTGACAGTCTTCTTTACTTGTTTATTTATAATATGCAAAAACAATACCATGATAATTTTCATCTAATTTACTATTAGTGAGATATATCTTCGTAGGTCTGATTAATATTCATGATCTAATAACATATCATCGGTCAATCCAAATATTCTTAAAGTTTCTTTTTGCTAGGTAGAGGTGGCAACATATCATTTGACAACTTCAACCTTCTAGTAATTTCATTTGCCACTAAGTCAACTTTAGACTTAATCTAATCTGGATTATGTCTAAAGTGGAATTTGCATTATTTTAATGTGAGCATTCAAAACTAAAATGTAATCAAAGTATTTTTTTCTTAAAATCTACACTTTCATAGAAAACAAAAAAGTAGTGCTTTACCAAATCTTCTAAAAATATACTAATTATTTTACCAAGTATAGACATCATAGCAAGAATTAGTCATAAATCGCTATATTTAGTAATAAGTAAGTTAATCATGATCAACTTTTTGACTAATTCTACTCCTACTTCACACATACAAGAACTAGTCTTACAATATATTATACGACAACACATGTAATTATGCAAGGTGCTTCAAGTTCAATGAATGAAATTGAATCTTTAGTTTCTATGAAATATAGTATGAAT